AAAACTGTCCAAATCGTGTAACAGCATAATTGGTCATCCCACAAAATGTTTAATATCTAAAAAAAAAAAAACTACTAAACTAATTGAGTTTTTTTTCCAGGTTTTCAGATAATGGCTTCTACCCAATTTTCATACAATTTGTCATAAGAATCACTGAATGAGTTTTTGAGTTATTCAGCTAGAAATAGAACAGGTTAAAATCGTTTTGTCAGACCCGCTGTCTCCTCAACTGAGCAATGGTGAGAGGAAAAATCATTCAGGCCTTCAGTAATGGTACCAACATTTATGCTCTGGCTTCCATTTTCAAATCCATTCAAGAACTGCCCAGAAAACGGTGAAAAAGTGGAAAAAAGAGGGAACAGCAGAGAGAAAAACTAGATCAGGAGGTCACAACAGGAAGAGGGATCATCATTTCAATTTAGAGCTAAAGAGATCAATTAGAAAAGATCCAACTCAATCCATAAGACGTTTGGCACGTGAGAGAGAAGTTTCAGTTATGACGATCCAGAGAGCAGTGATAATAGACTTGAAAATGAAATAATCTTGAATAAGTTGGAAAATGATTCTGTAACAATATATATATATTTGAACTTCATTTCAATCCTTCATGATCTTCCGATCCTTAGCTGTGATTAATTAATGATGAACATGTCATTTTAGTTTATGATTGATTTCTTCATGATACTTCTCTTAAGCTTTGAGAGTAATTATACATTCTTATTGATCAAAGTAAATATCAGTAGTGTTATAAAAACCTCGTAGAATTCCAGTAAGATAGCTTTCATCATTTCTAAGATACAACGCTTCAAATCTTAATCTAACAATTGGGCAATATTGCAGTTATACGATTTGGACAATGCTGCTGTTACAGCCGGTACATGTTTAAATTTCTTTTATTTTCATTTCCCAAGTACTTTCGACCTTCTTCAAAGATCATCTTCAGGGGTGCAAGTAGTACAAAACTATATGTTTTCAAGTATTTATACAAAGTTGTGCGTTGTTATCCATTAACATAAGTTTTTCATTATGCTGTACTTGGGAAATGAAAATAAAAAAAGTAAACAGCTATAGCACATTTCTATCAGCCTTTAACATCAATACACGGAATGTTATTCGTGAGTATGAACGGATTTTGTTAAAAATTAGCAGACATAATGTCTGTAATTTATTCAATCAACATGCCTCAGACATTTGCCTTAAATACACACACACACACACACATATATATATATACACACACACATATATATATATATATACACACACACACACATATATATATATATATATATATATATATATATACACACACACACACATACACACACACACACACACATATATATATATATATATATATATATATATATATATATATATATATATATATATATACGAAACATACATACATCCCTACCAAGATTTGCAAGCATATCATTATTTACAGGATTTATATTTATCTCTTTAACCGACCAGAGATTTTTGATATGACATTAAACTAAATCTTTAAAAAAATACACTTATTTCTACACTAATGTACTTCCTGAAAAGAAATCTGTTGTATCTCTTTTCGTATACACCCAAGTATTTTAACCATATTTATAACACTCTCGAATAGAATCTTTTTATTTTTCCTTTAGTTTACTTTTTAAAAATGGTGAAATCTTTATTTTCATTCTCTTTTTTTTGCCGAATTCTGTTTTTGAACTTACGTGGAAACTTTTAATCTATTGCAATTACTCAAAGTGCCAAATTAGCACCTTTTTCCCTATTTTTCTTTAACCATCTGGAATAATTTGACGAGATACCTCGATAGAAAATTCGTTATTCTGAAGAAAAATGAATAAAGCCATATTGACTTTCAAACAGTTTAGCTATTTTTTTTTTTTCGTGGAAAGTATTTATCAAATTTTGCTTCGCATACCTTCAGAAATCGTACCCTAATCTACAGAACCTTACATAAATTCTGATTTACCCTTAAATATAACACTTTTTTTTTACACTCAATGCGTTTAGTAAGTTAATAACGTCTAATATTGCCTTCACTTTCACACAAATGCCCTGGGAAAAGGCAAGAATCCATCTCTTATCACCATCCTACCGCCGCGAGCCAAATAGCAGGGCAGCATTTCTAACAACGTTCTATTTCACTCGGCCTTGACATGTGAACACTTGGTTTGAAGGGTTACGGTTATAAAGCACACGTTGCGCTCCTCGCTATAAATTTAGTTCACATAGTTTCTTCCAACACGAATCAAGTAATATTTAAACTCCAAAAAGCGGGTCTCGTTCTGCCAAATAATTACGCTAGATTATGCTTTCTTTTGAAACTAACATTCCAATATCTGCCCATATACCTGAGATGGGTTATTATGATTACTTGCATTAAAGGGAAATAACTGAGACATCCGAAAGAGGCATGGCACGTGGAACTAGAACAATCTAACGTGTTGAACGAAATAAACGGTTCGGTTCGAAATTTCAATCACCTGAAGAAGGCCGGGTCGTACAACGGCCGAAACGTTGTGAATATGGCAATGAAGATGAGGATAACAGTCCGAATAATGTAAATAATGCAACTAACATTTCAGTTTGACGCTTTTACCCAGCCTTTAAGACACTGGACATTAATACTAGAGTTACGCATACAAATGGCTTAGAGGTCAATTAAATTGATACACATACACATTCCTTCAAGCAAAGAAACTTGAAAACGGTCAGGAGATACATTTTTTAAAGTTTGGAACTAGACAGTGACCCTTGTTGAGTATATGGCTAAAAGAAACAAATATTCAAGTGATCAGGCGTCACAAGAACGGCTGAGTTCGTCCAGCGGGTCTAACCTCAAGTACTATTCCAGTAAACTGATGAAGTTCACTGCTACCGTCTACATCGAGGTGCCGAACACAGTATTCAAGCCCGGAGTCAAAGTGGTGGCATGTGTTTCAGCAGAACTCTGTTTCTTCCCATAGAGCCAACGTGACTCAGAAGTGGCTGATATAGAATTTATTTTATCCTGTCTTACCTAACATATGGTCTCATCTATGTTCTAACTTAAATCCCTTGGGTTATTACGTCAACCAGCGGCCTCACAAAACAAAAGAGTTGTTGAAAGCCTCCATCCTGGATGTGAAATATAATTGCAGTTGAACATGTGTACAAATGTTGTTTGAAAATATTTCTATCTATCGAATGCATTCTTCTTTCTGTTATAAGTTATTCTTATTTATTTGTCACACTTCATATATATATATATATATATATATATATATATATATATATATATATAGTCTGATGATATATATATATATTTGTAGGTCTGATGAATTGGATCATATTTACGATTCCAATGGAATAAATTATAACCATGGAATATTATGTTTAAGCCTTTTTTATTATATATATATATATATATATATATATATATATATATATATATATATATATATAATATTATAAAAGTGAAAATTGAAGTCAACACTCAGAGGCGACAGGCCGTTTCATGCTGGACGCAATCGTCAGGCCGCCTGACGATTGCATCCATCATAAAACATATAGATTACATACGCTCTATATATATTACATACGCTATATCTCTGATATTGAGCGTTTTGTCCCATAAATATAGCACACCTTAAAACTATATTTCTTCATATATATATATATATATATATATATAAGTAATTGATCGAGTCTAGAAGAAACCTCAACAGAATGAAGAAAGCACTAGACGGCCATTTCATCCCCATATTTGTGACTCATCAACAGTGCGCATCCACTACCGAGAATTGAAAATTGTTACGACATATGACAAACGTCATACCAATTGTACCAACGGATCTCGGTGACGAAGAGGTAATGAATTAGACTCGATACAACGCCGCTCGATCAAATATTCCGTGGTGGAACTCATCCGAGTTTCCCTTACCCTGAAAACTGTTAACCATATATAAATATATATATATATATATATATATATATATATATATATATATATATGCCCAAGTATAGGATTGGTGTATACGGAATAAATTCCGGGGTGAATTTATTACATATTTATATTATAATTTTTCGAATTAATCATATATATATATATATATATATATATATATATATATATATATATATATATATCACATAATAATTCATTGAGAACCTAAGTATGCCGAAAGCTGGATGGTCGTTTCGTCCTTTTTGGGACTCATCAGCAGTGCGCATCATTGAGCATCCACTACTAAGAATCGAAACAGGACCGTTACGATATCACACATTTTTCATACCACTGGCTAAGCGGGCCTCGGTGTCGAAGAAGAAATTAACTAGACTCAATATAATGCAGTTACTCCTAATTCCTTTGGTGATACACATCCAAACATACATAACCCACTGGAACCGGTCCCAAATGCAACGTCTTCTTTCAACAAGCCGCTCCATCCAGGGCATTAGATGCTGAATCAAACATAGGTTTATAACTGATAGAAGATTATGGAGATTTGAATAATTTCACATGATAATTCATATAGTCTACAACAAGAATATATATATGTTTTTAAAAATAGAAGCTGTAAAAATGTAATCTCTTTTTACCTGCTCACTAATCTGGAAAAATTTATATATATTTTTTCACATAATTCATTGAGTCAAGAACAAGAATCCTCAACAGAATGCAGAAAACACTGGACGGCCATTTCGTCCTTTTGGGGCCACATCAGTAGTGCTCATCCACTACTGAGACTCAAACCCGGACCGTTACGATGCAATGCAAGCGTCATACCACTGGGCCAGCGGGCCTTGGTGACGGAGCGAAAACTAACTAGACTCAATAATTCCGGTGGTGATACACATCCAAACATACATAATCTACTGAAACCGGCCGGAAGAGAGCATTTTTTTTTGTGTTTGTTAAGTGAATATAACGAACCCAACTGGAATTCGAACTCGACTCTACGATTAAAAATTACAAGCCATTTTCAATTACACTACAATTACGTTAGAAGCTTACAGAAGCTGATATTCCCAAGCTGTCACCCACCTAGGTACTGAGGAAGCCCGACGTTGCTTAACTTCAGTAATCCTAGGGGAACAGGTGTCTCAACGTGATGCAACCTCAAGCCTGAAATCACTGAGAAGGTTGAAATTCAAAGTCTCCGATTAGAAGAGAGTTGATGTTTGGATACGAAAAATAAAAACAGGCATTCTATAGACCGGGTTAAACGTTAAGCAATCTATTTTTTTATGCAGTGAATCGTTTCTTGTTATTCATCACTATCTCATTTCTCACTCGAAGTCCCAGTTATCTCCCCTTAACTCGACTCTCCAAATATTGAATTCACAACTCCTAGGGTCAAGTCACTGGATTCAACCAACGCTTTTGTCCACGGGGCAATCAGTCTTTGAGGACGTCAGTGTATGAATTTGGGAGACTTATAAACTTAATGTCTAAGTAATCGTTTTGACCAGAGCTCATCTTGCAATTTTTGTTGTTATTATTGCTTTTCTCGACCACTCCGTATTACTTGTTCTCATATTGTATTTATTTCTATGCTTGACCTTGGCTTAGAGATGAGGACAACAGTCCGAACAATATAAATGATAGAAATAATTACAATAGCTCATCTCAGAAATAGAGACAGATAAAAATGACAGACATGTCCGAATAAATCATTCCACCTTAAATAAATCAATTTCAGACAATTTCTAACATCAACTTGCGATTTTTCTGGCTAAAAAGTTAAATAATTTTAGCACATTCAACATTTTGGATAAAAAATACTGAATTTTATATAGTGTTTATTTTTTTTTAGAAATTTAGCATATATATATATATATATATATATATATATATATATATATATATATATATAATGAAAGCGGACGCTTTAGAAATCCATGGTAATAATTTATTTCACTTATAAATTACTGCTTTATTCAATATTTGCTGTGTTCTTACGTTGAGCTTTCTTTGGATTTATATCCTATTTGGAATTATCCTTACTAACTATATATATATATATATATATATATATATATATATATATATATATATATATATATCCCTTCTTCATGAATGTGGATGCGTATTTCTTACTAACGCTAATATTCAGTTTGCCCCAGATTCAATCTGGCATTTTAAATACTGCGTTTCAAGGAAGGCAATTTCTCCCACTTTTAATAATTTGCACAACAAAACCTTCTACACGTACTGCCCCATCTGTCTGAACTATGCTAGTCGTCATAAAAAACCATATATAACCATATATATATATATATATATATATATATATATATATATATATATATAAAACATTAAATTATATATATGTTCAATTATATATATATATATATATATATATATATATATATATATATATATATATATATATATATATGACAATATATATATATATATATATATATATATATATTGTCAGTATGAATACAAGTGTATTTGTGTAGGTTTCTGAGAGTAGCTGTGAGCTAATTGAAATCGGTGACGACCATATTCCACCCGATTTTACACATGTCCACCCTGGGGAAAACAGAGTTGTCCGACTGTTTCAAATGTCACTCTAAATTTATCATTCTGCCAACTTACGACAAGCGAAAATTACTACCAGCCTGATTGATTCTCCCCACCCTTCTCTCCTTCCCTCTCTTTCATCATTTAGACCCCTCTCTCCATCTCTCTTTCTCGTTGGAATAATCTGCAAGTCACTCTTTTTTTTTATTTATCTCGTTGCACTCTCCGCCCATTGCCTCTCTACTCAAATTTGACGCGCAAACAAGTAAAGAACAAAGAAATATTAAGATAAAGTTTAGCTGTAAAACTAATTTCCTGCTTAGACATATGTTTGTGTGTGTGTTTGTGTTTGAAGCCGTCATTGTAGTTTATTGGTTGCAGAAAAGATTTTCTAAATCACAACTCTTAAGCAACTGCACTGGAGATTGAGATATATCCTAAGTATAGCTTAGATATGGAACAAGGCCGAAAGTATGGGACACCCTAACTCAGGCCCAAGGTAACAAGAACGAAAGTATGGGACACCCTAACTCAGGCCCAAAGTAACAAGACCGAAAGTATGGGACACCCTAACTCAGGCCCAAAGTAACAAGACCGAAAGTATGGGACACCCTAACTCAGGCCCAAAGTAACAAGAACGAAAGTATGGGACACCCTAATTCAGCCGTAATTTATCTAGCAAAACAAGCTTTCTAACCATTACCAGACGTCGAAGTGTCCAAACTGCGCTGGAGATAGTTCTCTTTGTGAATATTTATTTAGTTTCTGTTCGTGTGATACAAGGCTGCAGTTGTCTTGAATTGATTAAGGATCGAACTGGTTGACTATTTGCCTTCCAAACGCTCTCTCACACACGCGTAAACACTCTATCTCTCTAATAAGACTCGTCGGTAAATCGAATCGAGTTCTCTCAGTCACTGTGTGTTTATCTAAAAATAAATACGCATAAATTCACCTTCGTTCCTGCCGTGCGCCAACGGCTTAGGGAGAGAATCCCCGACTGATGCTGATAGGGTTTCGCTCCTAGCTAGAAGCGACACTGATGAGCTGTGATACAGCGAAAGAGTCTGTCTGTGTATTACTATATATATATATATATATATATATATATATATGTGTGTGTGTGTGTGTGTGTGTGTGTGTGTGTGTGTGTGTGTGCAGAGTCCGCCCAAAAAATGTATACCCATTTCTGGAAAGGAAAAACTTGTCTTTCGTAATTTTATCAAATTGCGATAACATTGTTTACAGTAGTACGATATTTTCTCGACGCAGCCGACTTTACATTGGCGGCCCTTACACAAGAAATGCACGTGCAGCAATTCCACTGGACACTTTGGATGACGTTGCTCAAGCAGTCGTCTGTCGTACTAATAAATATTTGTAAGCTAAAGGCTACCATTTTGAGCAACTCTTGTGTCTTTCTATTAATCTCGTGATGTCTGAATAAATTTAGTATTACAATATTTTTTTTCCTTTCCTGAAGTATAATACATTTTGGTTCCAGACACTATATATATATATATATATATATATATATATGGGTGTGTGTGTGTGTGTGTGATTATCCGTAAAGTATCGGTGTTTTCGGGTTGTGTTCGATAAGTTTTAATCAGGAATTATTTATTTTTACGAAAAAATAAATAAACACAAGGTGATTAAAAAGGCACAAAAGTTTTAAACAGAATCTTCAAAATTGCCAAACTATGAAGCTAATTCCTCAGTAAACCTCATCGAAGAGCACCTGAATATATATATATATATATATATATATATATATATATATATATATATATATATATATATATATATATATCACGGAGGACGATTATCTTCTATGAAAATTTCTCGGACATTCAGGCTGGTAAATGTTGTTTAATACTGTTTACTATAAAACAGACCATTTACTTAAATATTTGTATCTATAAAAAGAATTTATAAACATAAAAATATCATTATATATATATATATATATATATATATATATATATATATATATATATATATATATAACCAGAATATATATCTGTATGTTTCTTTAATATTTTCGCAAAGTTTTCACATGTAGTAAAACATAGTGTAAGTGCCCAATGTAAAATGTAAGTTTCAGAGCTTTAATATAACATTATAATAAATATTTCTGCTCTTCTATTCTTCCGCAACTGTCAGTTTCAGGAAGGAAGGAAGGAAGGAAGGAAGGAAGGAAGGAAGGAAGGCACTATTTACATTTTACTTCCTCAATAAGTACCGCTTTCTTTCTGGATTGCAACATTAACGTGAATAGTTCCTTTCTTTACGGCCTGAAGATTGCAACAATGCATGAAATTGGCAGTTGCGGAAGAGTAAGAAAGAAATATTCAGTATTACACACACATACACACACACATATGCACAGAGAAAGAGAAAAAAAGAGAGTGTGTGTGTGGACATAGGAATCAACACTGAATCGTGACTCTCGGTACAGGTTTCAGTCGGAGAACCTTATATAACTGGTCTAAACGATTGCCGGAAACAGAAAACTGTGCGCCACGGTGCAATGTTGATTATTAAGTGCACATTGTCTATATCTACAAACACTTTGCATCCGATATTGAGCTTTCTCCACCTTCATAAATATATATTCATGCATGTAATTAAATTTTAGATTTAAATTAGTTGCAACTCCAAATATTATGATTTCACAAGTGCGGCACATCGAGAACAATTCTACATTATAATCCGAACAACTTATTTTCTATAAAAAGGACGTATGCAAACCATTAATCTGGCTTGATATGTGTCAACGGATATTTACTTTTGCGCTTCCCTTCGAATGATTTCAGCTTTATTTTTATATATACTGTAGCTGCAATGTTAAAGAATGAAAGTTTAAACGACTGCAGTTTCGAATTCTACTGCTTCGATCTTGATATAAATGGCAATATATATTTTAAAAACTTGTTCTGCACTATGTGAAATATGCATAAAATAGAATCAGGTATAAAGAAAGTTATGAAACAACAAGTGTTTATCACAAAATAAATGTATAGCACTCAAAATTATGTAACAAAATTGTCAATATACATATAAATTGACAAAGATTATCGATAAGACGAAGATCTGGACTTTCGACAGGTCATTCTATAATGTCGACGTATTTGGTTTGAAAAATTGTTTCGCATTTTTTGCAGTATGGCAGGTGTCACTGACTCGTATAAAAATGGGCCAGAGTGATGAGAGGTTTTCAGAGAAAGGACAACATACAGACAAGCCTCTATAGAATCAGACTTCTACATTTGTTTAAAAAAAAACATTAAAACTGGCTCAGAACGAAACGTATCTCAAATCAATCCAAGTAGCCCAACAACCCATTAAAATCGGCTCCAGACGAGAAGTAACTAAAAATGATTTCTGATTGGCTAATAAACAAAAAAATCATAATTTCATATGTTCTCAACTATGTACGCATCATATCGGTTTAGTGTGTGTCCCAAGAAGATACAAATTTGCGTCAAGTTTCTTAGAGCCTCCCACGTGACTAGAAACATCAATAAATATGAAACATCATTCGACTTCGACAGTGAATCGTACGAATTTTC